CAAAAAAGATTGCTCTCTCAATTTTTAAATCCCGGATGCGCGCCGAGCGGGCAGAAAAATTCTTAAACTCCCTTATAAAGGAAAAACTAACATTCTCGAATTGATGACAGCTGTGCTCGCGTTCCAAAAAAAAAATAAAGTGACTGTATATTAGATCTTTAAATGAAAACAACACTTGGAAAAAAAAGAAAATGGTCACCCTTGATCCTGCTTACTCCCCCTCCTAGTATAAAAAAAATTTTTTTTAGCATTTTAAAAATTTTTTTTGACAATTTTTAATTTTTTAAAAAGTAATGCTTTTTGGTAACACTCAAATGAGATTTAAAGTCATTTAAAGCAATAAAAATAATTTAAATTGAGAAGTGGAAATCATGATCTCATTTGGAAAATGTGACAAGAGGAGACAGTAAGTCTCACTGGGACAGTATGAAACTACTATCTAATGTTAAAACCGTGTAATGGGATCAGTTGAATTGGTAATGAGACTATCAAAAAATCTGGTCCTGGTCCCAGACACGGTCACACGGTCAGTCTAGTCATGATTTCATTTTAAGATCTGATATATAGTCACTTTGCATGTTTTTTTGATGGCTAGTCCCAGCGGGATTCACGCCAAGAAATGTATGAGACCAGACCAAATGGGATCAAATGTGAAATTCATGATCTCGGCGGCTAGTCTACTCTGTAATCAATCTAACACTTTCTGTTGTATGACAGTGTCTTAGAACAGAATATCAAGATGTTTGATAATATTGTCAGATGTTTATAATACTGGTTCACATGCTTTCATTCATGAATGAAACTTCTGTTTCATATGATTCTTCAATCATTCATTGATATATCAATCTTGATTGATTAATGAACTGATGACATCTTCATCTACACTCAGTTTTGCAAGCATTTTCATCCTTCATGATGAGTAGAGAGTGAGGTTGAAAGCATTAAAATATGCAGTAGCATCTAAGCATTCTTTCAGCACTTTTGTATTCAATTCTGTCAGTATTGAAATTGTCTGTGCAGGGGTTTCTTGTTGAGATAATCATTGAATTTCTTTATATTGATGTTGTTGAGTTGCATGCAGATCAGCTATTTATTATTATTGTAATTTCAACATTGCTTGAAGTCACTGTGACACTGTGTCTATGCTTGTGTTTCGGAGTTCTCTCATACTATTATTAGACATGGTTATATTGATTGTTGAATATGTGATATCTGTGAAATCAGAAGAAGTGTAATTGTATGAATATCTTATACATCTGTTGTGTCAGAACTCTCCGGTCTTTCACTGATATTCTCTTTATAAGATCTTGTTCTCTTCATAAGATCTTGTTGCAGAGCCAGAGTGACTAGACTGGCCACCAGAATCATGAATTTCACGTTTGATCTCATTTAGTCTGGTCTCATACATTTTTTGACGTGAATCCCGCTGGGACTAATCATTAAAAAAACATGCAAAGTGACTATATATCAGATCTCAAAATGAGATCATGACTTAGAAAAAATAAGAAAGTGGTCTCATTTAATCTCATTTAGTCTCATTCTTGGCATAAAGTTACTATTTTTAGACATTTTAAGGTTTTTTTTAGACTATTTTTAATTTTTTAAAAAGTAACACTTTTTGATAACACTTAAATGAGATTTAAAGTCATTTAAAGCAATAAAAATAATTTAAATTGAGAAGTGAAAATCATGATCCCATTTGAAAAATGTGACAAGAGTAGACAGTAAGTCTCACTGAGACAGTATAAGACTACTATCTAATGTTAAAACAGTGTAATGAAATCAGTGAAATTGGTAATGAGATTATCAAATATTCTGATCCTGGTCTCAGACACGGTCACACGGTCAGTCTAAGAGTGACTGATGAGCAAGCTTCTATCTGAGAACTC